TTGCAGTGCCAGTCGATCTTGTCTATAGTCCGGAAAACAATCTTTGGGTATCCAATGGCGCTGAGATTTGGTAGAATTCAAAAGACCAGTGTACTTGGAATGCGAGTTCATTAAAAGTTGAAATTCAAAGGCAGAATCAATTTGAGCTTCTCTTTACTTACTCCAAAGGTATTGATTAGACGAAAATATGACATATATGCTTGATAGCTATATAAAAAGACTAAAGTTAAGCTGTAATTAACATCAAACACCTGTACACTAACTCTCCGTTAAGTTTCTTTACAAAATACGTGCTAAAAACTATGCTCATTTGGCCTTTATGAATAAAAAAACATGAGTATGGTTCTATAAAAACGCTGTTGATATCTAATTAGAAGCCAATTACAAACCTTAATTGGGATTTGAAATAACTATTTGGCCGTTTAATTCAAAATATTATATAAATATGCGTTCTATAATCCATATATATTGTCGTAAATGTGTATTTCCCTGACCGATTCGAACAGAAAGTTAAGCGTGGTTGCGAATTTACACATAATCTCATTAAATAATTCATATTCACCGGTAAACTCTTTCATTTTACGAACCGATTGCCTGTGCACATTCATTAGTTTCGAGTTTATCAACGGATCTCAAACAAGAAATCTTGCTCTTCATACCTTTATAATGTTAGTCGGCTATTTAGTTAAAGTCCTTATGTGTAGAAATGATGTATGTCTTAGATCAGGAGAGGGGCTGGGACCGAACAACCAAGATATCTCTTTTGTGTGGTGTAGCTAATAAGATTGGGACAAGTCTAGGTCGCTGCAGAGGGCTAACGTTGATACCATGTTGATTTAACATCTTTTATGTTGCAAGATCATTGGTTTTGCGCAACTCTAGTAGTCCTGTCGATTATGTCTCGATTATGGATGCTCTATGCGCACGCTCCTCATGCTGAGGTACTACTGGCTTGTACCATCGCAGATTCATACAAGCGAAGTAACGACATACATTGATGTTATACACAATAGAGGCGGTGAGCGTTGAAGTAACCATTTCATATCTAGAATAAAGACCGGCCGAGTTTACGATATGACAGTGTAGGCGAAAGGTTTTAGGTTGTAGTTGAGCTGATCTTAGGGACCTTCTACAGTTAGTCTATTGGGCATAACACTGGTGGCGAAGAAGGCATGGCATGCAATGGCGACGCTCGAGCTCTAGAAACGTTTTTCACAAATGACATGGTCGAGAGTCATTCCTGCCTAATATCTTGCGTGAAGTGAATATCGGCTCCTGATTAGTTCCAATTAGTTCTGGCTTATTGTGAAAGATCACATTTGTTAAGTCTAATGGTAGTTTTGGTACTGCTTGCGAAAGTCGGTTGGTCAGAATTCGCATGAGGTGCTTACAAGTTGTCTGTGTAAGGCTAATGTGTGACAGGATTTTTCTTTGTAAAATTCAGGGCTATGGTTGTCACTATGTCTTAATTAATATGTGGTTTTTAAGTCAGTTGTCTTAATATTAGTGAAACTTTTTTCCAATTATCCCACATGCCTATAGCGGAATTCCAAATTAAATTTTTCATTGTACTTATTTATATCTGTGCTAGTCTTCTTTATCCTATCATGATTGTCCTACATTTTATTTCCTTAGTTGCCTGCTGGTCTGATAAGTTTATCCACCAAAGACCGTTTGCCGGCTTCCCGCCGCTTTGGTCTGATCGCTAGTCTGCAGACCGTTCACCCTTCTCAGCTAGTTTCGCCCTCCGTGCGATCTGGCCCTGTATCCGCCTTGGCTATAGCTACATCAATACCAGCTCCACTAGGGTCCTCTTCATCGACCAGTGGACCTGTTTCCCTCAGCACTTCTAGCCCAAATTTAGCGGAGCTCTCTATAACTGCCGTCACTCCCAGTGGCTGCCTTCCTTTGTTGCATAACGAATGCAATACGTCATTGTGGCTTGCTGAAATGGCTTCTTGTGAAGGTGCTCGCTGCCGTCTGGTTGATCGGTCTGTTTCTTCTTCACTGCCTTGGCTCCATTCAGCTAGTATTCCTTCCAACACCAAGCTAGAGGACCCCGAAACAAACACAGCCATTAGCTCGCCTCCTCTCGGTTCAAGGGAAATTTCTCTTGCTGATGCGACCACGGAAATTGCTGCATCACAGCCACTGCATGAAAAAATTGCCACTATTATTGATAATCCCTCATCTCTTATAGTCCAACCATCTCGCTCGGTCTCATCGTCACCACACCCTATTGGTCCAGAAGAAGCTTTGGTCTGGAGTACCTCTCTGACGGCCTTTCGGCGTCCTCGGGTTATCACGCCTAATCCAACAGGATTTGGTTACAATGACTCTGCCGTCGATGATCTAAGGTAAATCGTCTTTCTAAAATTGCTTTCATCTATGTACTTGCATTAATATTATGGTAATCAAATCGCTACAAGATGGGCTTTTTTATAATCTCTCAGTCTCGATCATAGAATTAAAAGACAAAAAAAATTTGTTTTCAAACTTGTCAACTCTTTATTTAGAAAAAGCAAGTATATGGAGCAAATTTTTCCTATATGACTCCTCATAATTGCAGTTGAACTTCTTACAATGAGTGGGCCTCATGATGCTATCGAATTTTATTTGGCCTTGTCTTACAAATGTTGCCCTAATCCATGATAAGCTTCCGTTTTGGTCTCGCCTTAGTCATCAGTACTTTCACTGGTATCCAAAACCATCTGGTAAGAGTCGTCTACATTTTGACACTTCGCTAAACAGCCAAAGTTACAAGTCTGTCACATGGCAGATGTTGCTCTCAAGGCAAATTGGGCCTCACGTCACATTTATACTGAATGTGATTATTGATGAGGCAAATACATATGTGAATGTATGAAGAAAAACTGGGTTTCGACGAATTCCTTAATGAAATATTGTGGCATGAGTCTCCATTTTAAAAGGAAAGTTGGTTTTGAGGGAATTCGCGATGTGGTCTCACCGGAAACCGAAGGAGGATTGCTGCGTAGGGAAGAATGCTGAATTGTGCGAGAAAGTCCTCGGCTCACCGTTCTGTGATCCTGGTGAAACGAAATATTAGCACAGTCTCATTGGTGTCTCGGACGATAAGCTGTGGGCTAATTCACACAATGCAGCAGTCTTCCCTACGTGGCAATCCTTCTTCAGTTTCTTATCTGAGACCACATTGCGAATTCTTTCCAACTAACTTTCCCTTCGAAATGGGGAATCATGCCACAAATGCATATATGCCTTGCATTCGAAGTATACTCGCATTAAAAATAAGTAACGTACTCAATCGCTTGCTTCATCTTTGCCTTATTGATCATTCCACCATAAATATGATTTGGGGAATGTTTGGCTTATTTCGAAAGTCACATCTGTCCTGTGACCCACTTGCGTCTATTTATCGGAATGTTACTATGTCACCACTATGAGCATGACCTAGTTTGGGGTCCGGGTTAAGGCTCTGATAAGCTCTAGATTTTGTCGTAACTTCAGTCCAACATCTATAAAAAGCTTATTGATAGACAAGGCTAAATGAACGTAAATATGAAGACCAAGATTTAGTGACTCTATTTAATCGTAGTCCCCTTTTGATGTGTAGAAGTGGTTTGACCTCATATTCGCAACTTGGTAGTGTTGTCAAGGCGACTTGGTTGAACGCATCTTGTCCAAAGTCCTCTGCTATTGTGGCTATTATAATTCCCAGAGTAGGATGGTGGACTTAATAAGTTCCAAAAGGTTTTGCCGACTGGTGAGCGAGTCTCGCCATTCTCAGCACCAAACTACAACTCTTCAAAGAGACAATGAAGTCAATCCCTTGAATAGTCTTCTGCGGAAGAGTTATGCTATCACTTCTTCCTGTATGAAAGAATAGGTTCTTAAATCAATCAATACTAGTCTAGATATAAAGACCAAGATCGTGTGGCTTATTTTGCCGAAGTCTTCTTTAGCTTTATAATGTTGGTTCGACCTTTCTTCAACAACTTGGTCGGAAAGTCAGGGAGACCACAGAATGGTGTGAATAGGTAAATGGGCGATACGAAGTTGGGTTGAGAGTAAGAGATGTAGCACTAAAAGCTAGGACAAAATAGGGGTGAGGAGCAATGCCACAACAATTGAACAGAAAATTGGTCAAGGGGATTGCCCTCACTTGCCACTGATAAGTTGAAATTCTGTGCTTAGGATGGCGCCTTTCACTGAGGATGCTGGCGAAACGTTTGGAAACGTTCCCAACCAATGGTCAAATAGTGGAAATCATGAATACTATTGCAGTGGACACGAGACTAGATACGTTTCACTAGGTCGAACCAACACTATAAGATATTAATACAAGGAGGTTGTGGCCTCTGGTATGGTCGCAACACACAAATTAGCAAATTTTATGTTTGAAAATCAAGAAATTAAAAGATAGATTATCAAACGCGGTGAAGCACTCATATGAATTTCCCCAAAAGATCAAAAACATGGCACTGGAAGAAACGGACTAATTGGTAAGTTTCGGTGTGGAATAGATGTATACAGATATCTATAAAGAAAATGCGTTAACTCCCCTGCTGGAAATGATGGCCCGAGATAAGGATATCCTGGAATCACAACGGATCGGTAGGGAGTCCTCAACCAGACTAATCAACTTGACAATAAGAACAACCAATTTCACATTCAGCGGAAACATCTATGAACAAATATTTGGACTTCCCATGGGATCGCCGCTCTCACCACTTTTGGCCAATGTA